TCCTCCGCCTCCTCCCAGCTCTCCCCGCTGGGCCCGTTCGGCACCAGCTCCCAGCCCGGCTTCCGCGGCCCCTCGCCCCCGTCCTCGCGCCCCTCCAGCACCGGCCTGGAGGACATCAGCCCCACGCCGCTGCCGGACTCAGACGAGGACGACGAGCTTGACCTGGGCCTGGGGCCGCGGCCTCCGCCCGAGCCGGGCCCGCCGGACCCTGCCGGTCTTCTGGGCCAGACGGCTGAGACGGCCTTGGACCTGGCTGGCGACAGGACCCCGACCTCAGAGAAGATGGATGAGGTACCGCCATGTCTGTCCATCTGTCTGGGATTGGTTTTGTCGGTCTTGGATTCCCCCCCTTTCCCCGATCCATTTAGGATCGCTGGCTAAGTAAGACACAGAAGCAGCAGGACTAGGAAAGCCATCGTAGCAGTTGGGTTTAGAGAGTGAAAAGGGGGTCCAAAAGTACTAGGAACTGTGATTTAGCAGCTGGTTTGGCTCTGAGCTCCCTAGCAGCCATGGAGAGAAGGAAAATACAGCCTGTTAGTTCTGTTGCTCTCCTTGCCAGGTAGCAAGAGCCTAGACTTCCTAGAGATAAATTCTGACTTGAGCTGCTTCCGTGAGAGTGTGCTGAGACCCCATAGAGTATGGGCTGGGGTCATGGGTCTGGGCCCCCTTTTCTGTTGAGTGGCTCGGGAATGGTCGGGAAGGGTCCTGATGCTCAGGCAGCTGGGCAGAGGGATTGGCCAGAGTACGGCACTGGGGTGGCCAGGGAGCTCTCCAGCGCACTGTCTTCCATAGCTTGGAACCCCTGAAGAGATGGGAATCCATGACTGAAGTTCCTCTTCCCTTCTCCTTATCCTGCTGGCTCTAGCAGTGAAGGAGTTAAGAGCTAGCTGGGGGCGACGGCAGCCAGAGGCAGGCAGAACCGACCATCCCCCACCCCCTCTTCACCTCATCTGGTCTCTGCCCCAACCGCCAGCCTCAGAAAGTCCCACCCAGGGGGTTGGGGTGAGGGCGGCCCAACCGGCTTCCCTTGGGAAGGCACTCCGTCTGTGGGTTCCGATCCTCCCCCTGCCCGGTCCAGCCACCTGCCGCCGCTCTCCTGTAGGCTGGCCTGGGAGCTTGAGGGGCCTGGGGGGGGGGCGGGGGGCAGGGGGAGGGGTGAGGTCCGGGCTGTGCCCTGTGGGCAGACCTTCCTGGCCCTTTGCTTAGGCAGGTTTGGCTGCCTCAGGGAGGAACAGAGAGGAACTTGACCTGCCCTGGAGGGACCCACAGGTGGCTGGGGCTCCAAGGGGCCTTCAGACAGTTCTGGGGAAGTGGTTTCTGGCATCGCGGGGTTCAGGCGGGGGAGCTGACAGGTGTGCCGCGGTGGCAGCGTCCTGCCTCCCTGTTGACTGCCTGGGGCTGGGGGCGTTTGCCATGCTGACCAGCTGGCCCCGGTTTAGAAGCCCAGAGAAGCTGGCGGGAATGTGTCCCCCACCGTGCCACGGCAGGGAAGGGGAGACTGAAGCCCTGAGAGCTGGGGTCTGGGACGCCCCAGGACATAAGCCTAGGGACCCTCCTGGGGACTGGCACCTCCAGGCTGGCCCTCGGGGGCCCCCTGCTGGCGGCCGGGGGAGCAGCACCCGGGCGCCTCGTGGCTTCACCTGGCGGCCGAGCTGCTCCCATAATAAATAATCTTAGCCTTGGCCGAAGCTGAGGTGGGGCAGCCACGCAGGGGGAGACCTGTCGGGGTGGAGGCTGGCAGTTAAACGTTCAGGCTCCGGTTCCCGAGGAGCCTCGAGTCCTAGCCCTGCCACTGGTTTTGCGACTTTGGGGAAGGTGCTTTCCCTCCCTGAGTCTCAGTTTCGTCATCTGCCAGACGGGCTGGGGAGGGTGCCTGCCGCGCAGTCTCAGCCTAAGTGAGGGGCGGCAGGCGGAGCTCCAGGCCCAGCCGGGCCTGGCCCGGCGCTCAGTGCTCAGCAAATTCCTGCTGGTTCTCACCCCGGGGCCGCGGTGGCGGAGGGAGGGGCAGGGGCAGCCCGGGGGCGGGCGCAGATGGGGCCTTCCTGTGATTGGCCGGTGCGGCGGCCGGGTTAACCCTCTGTGCGCTGCGTCTTGCCTGGCCTGGGCTGCCACGGCCGGATCTCCCGGCGTC